GCATCTATGTGAGTGGGTGTGTGTGTGTGTGTGTTAGGAATTTTCACCACAACATCCCCTGTTCCACTTTCAGATGAGTAGATGCAAAATCAAACCAACATTACCTCTGTTGTAGACGATGAAGCATGCTTAAGATAAGATGAGCCAATCCACAAATGGAACAGTTTTGCCTCTATAGTCAGCAACATGAAGGGTTGACTCCTATGTCCACCCAGATGAGCCAACCCAGCAATTAAACAGTCAGGAACATAAAGGATTGGCTCATGTCCAGCCAGACTAGCCAATCCACAAATGATACAGTTTTCCCTATGCACAAGCAAAGCGACACACACTTGAGAAAACAGTTAACAATATGTGCAGCCCCCTGCTGGCTTCCCTCACTAGGTACAACCCCGACACTCCCACAACCCTTCAGAAAAAAAAAAAGAAAAAAAAAAGGGAAACACAATAGTGTGTGGTGTGTGTTCTACATTAGTATGATGACAGGTATTTTAGCACATGCCATTTCTCTCTCCACCCAGATTCACCTGCATATTTCCTACCAACCAGCATCCTTTCTTGTTCTTTTTCCTTTCTTTCCTCCCCCCCCTCTCTTCCTATGATCGTACTTGCTGGACACCCTACCGAGAAATAATCCTGACTGCATACAGAACACTGGCACCATCATGACTCTGCCTGCTAGACCACTGGACGTCCGGGCCTACTCATGTTACTCGAATCTCCATGCAGGGTCCCTGACAGATTCTACCTTTGTCCCTGTCCAATGTCCATCCTACAATTTCGCTAAGACCGTCCGTTGTCCAAATTTCAGTCTTACCCTGGACCCCCTACCTTAGACTTAATGCTGACTCCATACAGAACACTGGCACCATCATGACTCTACCTGCTAGCATACTTGACGTCCGGGCCTACTCAAGTTTCTCGAATCTCCATGCAGGGTCCCTGACAGATTCTACCTCTGTCCCTGTCCCATCCTACAACTTCGCTAAGTCCGTCCGTTGTCCTAATTTCAGTCTTACCCCTGCAACCACACCTATTCTCTCTTCGACCCCTCCCCGGGCACAGAAACACGGCAAGGGCACACAAACGCAGTGTGAGAATGAAGTTAGCGTACAGACAAAGGCTTGAACTCAGATCTTCAACCGACAAGCACTCACTCGTGGTTAATAGATGGTGTCATTTTCGGCGAATTTTTCACCGAAACAGTCGGCGAAACTGCCATATTTCCCTGAATTTTTGCTTTTTTTTTTTTTTTTTTTTGTCGGATATGTATGTGCTTTAGTGTATATCTGTAATATTGATTCCGTATGTATTCAGATTCAGCGTATTTGGACCTGTAAACGAAAATTTTGGCAAGGACATACATACATCATCAGCAGGACACGGAGACTCGCGAAACTGAGCAAATTAGACTTTGTATATCACCCGGCACTGGTTGTCGAGTTAAAAATGGAAAAAGGAAGAAAAAAAAACTCCGCAAGACCGATCAAATGCAGAAACTTCCTCAGCAAAGTGGATATTTTTCAGGCAGAGAACTGCATGGGTCATTAGCGACTCATTACATTTCTCGTCTTCTTTTTTTCCTCATTTTATTGTGAGCTTCTGAATAGCTTTCTTTCTTGTTCTCTTCTTTGTTTGTGGTCCTCCCCCCCCCCCCCCCCTCCCCACAGCCATCTTGAAGGACTATGGCGATAGGTGTTTCAAGTCATCTCAGTTTTCCGTCCCTCAAACCATTACAAATTCTGCATTGGGACATCCCTTGCAGCCCCCGGCCCCCCCGGCTCCCAAGCGTCACCATCCCTCTACCCTCTTCCCTGTGTGCTGCCTGTTGCCTTTGCCCCCAACACTCGCCAATTTCTACTTAAAAAAAATAAAAATAAAAGGAAGTTCTAGTTTTACTCACATGGTTGCAAATATCTGTCCTGGCTTTGGTGTTGTCAGACTTGTGAAGAAGACGCAGAGCTGATGTGCAGCTTTGATCGGCATAGCAGCATCTTCTGAGTCAGCAAGAGGTGCTGGCTACTCGCGGTACAAGACAAAAGAACTTGCTTGTTATTTAGAAACCAAGCTCAAAACACACACACAGTATCACACCGGAAAAAAAAAAAGGGGGGTTTCAGCTTGGCCTAATCACTGTGAGACATTTCTATCTTGCTTTCAGAAGTCTGTGATCCTGAACGGAACAATTCTTTGTCAGATGTGATGGGCACCATGACGGTCGTACGGGAATCTATGAGTGTCCTTCTGGTGTCAGCTATAGAGGAGAGTGGTTGTGAAGCTCAATGGTCCGCACTCAGGGAAGAAATAAAGAATTGTTATGGATGCCTTCATCGCCGGCATCGTGCCAGAATTGACGAAATCAAGAACGCAGTGGTCATCCTAGAACCCTTGGTGAAGGATGTGTTTGCACAGATCAGGAACCGGTGTGATACGATTGCCGAGCCCAGCGAGAAAGTATTCTTCGCCTACCATGTCCAGGATGTGAAGGACAGAATTGAGCATGTGAAAACCGCGCTGAAAGAGGCGCTAGTGCCGTATACTTGGGATGAACTGCCAGCCTCCAAGCCAGTGTCGTACAGGCGAAGGCTAGTTGAGGCACGCGAAGAACTACATCATATTCGCAATGGTCCGTTGGCGGCATTGAAGGCGATGATGGATGAAGAGGAAACAAGCGGACAGTCGCTAAGCTATCATAAGTCAGCGCAAGGGTCTCCTCACGTCGCGGTTTCGCTGCCGTGGCCTGGAGCTTTGGAGTCGCCGAGGGGAACTGTGCTGGGAAAGGAGAAGTGCTTAAGCACACTGAAGGAGAAACTTATGGGCGGCTCCTCCTCCGGCGGGTCGACTTCGGCCAAACTCATCGGCATTTGCGGGTTTGGAGGAGTGGGGAAGACAACGCTTGCTCGCCATGTTTTCGAGGACCAAGACATTGTGAAACATTTCTCGGGGGGCAGGTTCTGGGTGGGGGTCACGAAGAACATCCCCGTCCTTTCTGTGCTCAATAAACTGTGGGCGGAACTGCTGCGAGAGTCCGGCACCCCGGCCAGCACATTTTCATCTGTGGACGAGGCCATTTCCAACATTCAGGGAAGAATAAACTGCCTCCGCGGCTGCGTCCTCCTTGCTCTGGACGATGTGTGGCAGGAAAGCCAGATTGCGCCCATCCTCGATCTTATGACCCTTACGTTGTCGTGCCAATTACATATTCTAATGACGACTCGGTATTCGCGCATCGTGCAGAGAGGAGGAGCCTTCTGGTACGAGGCGAGACCTCTAGACTTGGATGATGCGAAGAAAGTGATTTGCCTGCATGCTTTCGGGGAAGAGTCTCCAACCTTGGAGCACTCCTTGAATAAGCTTGTTGAAGGCGTTTGCAGCGAATGCCAGGGATTGCCGTTGGCTTTGAAGATAGTCGGATCATCGCTGCAGGGTAAGAGCGCGTCGGAGTGGAAGGTTGCATATCGCAATCTTCGCAGAGCAGCTAGTATAACCCGCAGATACCACGAGGCTGTTTTTGGCTCCCTCTCTTTCTCCCTTGATGCTCTCCATGCAGAGGACCCTGTGCTGCTGGATTGCTTCCTGGACCTGGCGGCCTATCCCGAGGACTACCAGATCCCTGTGCATGAGCTGTTGCTCCAGTGGTCTACGTACGACGAGGTGGAAGACTTGGAAGATGCTCTTGACCTGTTCATGACTCTGGTTGACTTCTCTATGGTTAGTTGGTCAAACCAGTCCAGCGAAGAAACTGTACGTGACCCAGAGAACTCCTGGTCTTCTCAATGGAGCAAGCAGTCGGAAGGCAGGGTGTTTTTGGACCTCGGCCACTGTAGCTTCCTCGACGATGTGCTGCGGGATCTTGCATTGATACTGTCTGCTCGAAAGCCGTACACTGACGTCAAAGCCATCCGGCTGAACGCTACAGAGCTCATGGAACAGGGGGTCGAAAGGCCGCTGCATCTGCTTGACCGGCTATTCGTGGCAGGGGGACGATGTTGCTCGTCCAACTTTGTGTTGGCGAACGGAATGGACGCCCAGCTGAAGCATTGCGTCTTCCATGGCTGGGACAGGCAAACGAAGGCGGAGGAGGAGGTGGAGATGGAGATGTGTGTTGGAAATCCCACGCCACGGCGTCAAGAGGCAAGGCTGGCTGCTAGGAACTTGTCTCTCATCGATGGAACGTTTGCCGAGTTCAGTTCAAACACAGCCAAATGCGTTTCCCTTAAAGCGCGTAATCTTCAGGTCCTGCTTGCACAGGGGACGAGGAACGAGCCATGCTTCCTTCTCGAACAACTGGTCCGCTCTGCGTTCGGGCTGAGGGCTCTCAATCTTCATAACTGTAAGACAGGAAAGGTTCCGTTTGATGTCACCAGCCTCGAAGCATCGTTTGCCTCCTTGCAGGTTTGCGACATGGGCAGCGAGTTCCCGGACGAGCTTATCTCAAACTGGCCAGTCGATTTTGGACGGATGGAAAAGCTGCGATACTTAGACGTGCGACAGAATGTCGTTATCGGAACCTCCGAGAGCGAGTGGCTTCAGGAGGTCTGCAAGCTGACATCTCTGACAACTTTACGGATGGACTCTATTCGGTTTGAAGATAATGTGATTGGCGATATTCTGCCAGAGATAGGTAATCTTCACAATCTGACAGCTCTCTCTGCCTCTGCCTGTGGGATAACCTCCATCCCGGAGGAGATTTGCTGCCTCTCCAGTCTGATGTTCCTCGATCTGTCGGAAAATGAGCTGTGCGATTTGCCAGATTCGCTGGGGGATTTGCCAAGCCTTACGTCGCTCGACCTGTACAAGAACCCGATCAGGGAGTTGCCGAGCACTATCGGACGGCTGAAGAAGCTGCAGAGCTTCCGGGTAGGAGGATGGGGGTGTTCGTTGTCGTATTTCCCGAGGTCGATGTGCCAGCTGACATCGCTCAGCACACTTTGGTTGGGTGAGCTCGAGGAGGAAGGCGAAGACAGTGGTGAGGACTTTGTAAGCGCTGCCTCGCCGGGCTCCCAGCTAAGGACCAGGGAAGACATGGTGTACCTCCTCAGCCATATCCCCAAGTTACGATTCCTGAATCTCACGTGGCCTCCCATGGGAGGTGATATGGCCCACAATGACGCCGACACGTCGGTCGATGGACCCCTGGCAGCCGTGACCGGGTTCGACAATCTCGAGGAGCTCATCCTCTGTCAGTTTCCCTCAACCCAACCGGCTTTTGTCCCCCGTTGCTCGCGCCTCGTCAACTTGTATCTGGAAGGTGGTTACCAGCAACGGCAGCGCATCAACGACTGGACCTTCCGCCCCCTCCCTCACCTCCGTTTTGTGTCGATATCCTACATCGACGACGAAGAATTGCCACCATCTTTGCTCGATCTTCATCAGCTCTGTATCCTTCAGCTTGAGGGTTGCTCGTCTTTACGCATGCTCCATCTCGACTGCCTGCACTTGCTCCGCGTCCTGCGTCTGTGCGACTGCGGAGCTCTCACCGCTGTCGACGTCAGCATGCTGTCTGATCTGCAAACGCTGGAGCTCCGGAACTGCCCCTCCGTAACGCTTGTCAACATCGGCGACCTCCACAGCTTACAGGTCGTACGCCTGCTGTCGTGTCCATCCCTGTCGGAAGTTAAGATCGGAAGGACGAATCGGGTTCAAGTGCTAGAGATGATAGGGTGCCAGGCACTCGAGGATGTCAGCGTCAAGTGCCTGACCCAGTTACGCATTCTTTGGTTGGAAGAGTGTTGCATGGTGAAGACCCTGGTCTTTGGAAGCGCCAACCATCTCCAGGATCTGCAACTTTCTGAGTGCACAGCACTGAAGTACATTGACTTTGAGCACCTCAAGCACTTGCAAAAACTCAAGATCGACGCCTGCTTGTCGCTCGTACAAGTGGATGTCATCACGCTTGCAACCTCTTTGCAGAGTCTTGTTGTCTCCGGCTGCCCAAGCCTACAGATCATAGGTCCCGATCATCTCCGAACCAGTCCTTTGAGCCCCCCCAGCAGCAAGAAGGCCATAACAACACTTATCCAGAAGCTCGATTTGTCTGACTGCGGTTCGCTTGTCATCGTGGATGTGGGGAGGCTAGATCACCTGCAGGATTTGCTCCTGTCAGATTGCCCCAACTTACTAGTGATACGAGGGATCACGGCATCAAAACTGCAGTCGCTCTACTACGAGAGAGTTCATCCCGACCTAGATCGGACACTCCAAAAGCTTTGTCAAACAAAGGGGAACAAGCTACTAGATTGCACCGTTCGATACGCCGGTCGGACGGTGCAGATCACCGATGCATGTATGAAGAAATTGTAAAGTGTTCAAGAAACATAGGACAACGCAATTGTTTCCAGGTGAAACGCACCTCCCCAGTGCCCCTTCCTCCTGGCCCCCAACCCCCAACTCTCTCCCAGCTGGACCTCGCTCTCCTTTGAAATTCATCTGTAGTACACGACGAGACACAAAATCGTTTAAGTTCTTGTAGTTTCAATACCCTACTTACTAGGGTGCGAATTTCGAACTTGTGATCAGTCGATAGGCAGTCAACACAGTGTGCATTAGGAAGCTAACAACATCAAACACTAACCGTCAGTCAGAATCATCAGCTCCTAACAGCCAAATTTAGCGGACGCCGGACCACTTAAAAAAATGCAGTTTGAACCACTTCGGCCTGCAGTCGTTCTCTTTGGGAACTCAGCTGAGCTGAGAAGCACAGGATGAACAGGTGGAGGAAATGGGAGAGAGGGAGATACGGAAGGGGCTCCCGGCCAAGCCAGGGTAGCATTCCTTCCTCACTCATCTCACTTTCTGAATCGACCAACTCCACAGACAGGGGCAGTCTCTTGCTTGCACGAAAAAACACTATAGATCTTCTTGAAGTCATTTCCTTCCGCTTTTCTTGAATGCTTCTGAATTTTTAGCTCTGCGTGCATGATTGTTTTAATTACGATATCCCTCCACAGACAGACAAGAGAGAGAGAGAGAGAGAGAGAGAGAGAGAGAGAGAGAGAGGCATTACACAGACAGACAGACAGACAGACAGACAGACAGACAGACAGACAGACAGACAGATAGACAGATAGGCACAGACAAACAGAGAGAGAGAGAGAGTACAGCTCCCTCCATGGAGAGAGAGAGAGAGAGAGAGAGAGAGAGAGAGAGAGAGAGAGAGAGAGAGAGAGAGAGAGAGAGAGAGAGAGAGAGAGAGAGAGAGAGAGAGAGAGAGAGAGAGAGAGAGAGAGAGCTACTTTCCTCCCAACCCCACTGTCTCACACATCTCTCACGCTTGTATGTCTTCTGACGGTCTTGCAGCTCCCCATTTGCTAGTTTCTCGTTTATTTTGCTAGTGCCGTTATCATCAGAACACTCCCTTTCATTTTCTAAGACATCATTGGCAGCACTGTTCTTGGTGAGGATTCTTTTCTTATTGTCATTCTTTCTGTTCGACAAGCTATCTGTATTCTTATGTGCAGTAGACTACCTAGACTCGATCCAATGACCTTTGATGGGAATGCATTGTTTACTTGAGTCTTTTTTGTAGTGCTAGGGTCCTTCGTATCTTCCCGTAAACGCTACAGATGTAGTCAGATAGATCCTGAGCTTGTTCTTCCTGGATGTTGCTTTGCATTAGACAACGACGCAAGCACAGCTCCACATCCCCTGGCCGTGATCCTCGATGAAGACGATTGTTTCTCAGAGCGGAATACGCCAAGTTCTTAGTGGGTGGGGGGGGGGGTATGGGGTCTGCGACTTTGCACCTGTTTTTCTCCTTTGCATTCATACTCCGATTATTCACACTTGTCTTGCATGCAAACAGCGATACAGCAACTGGCGACATGCGCCCTGACAGTACTTAAGATATCGTAACCAGATATGAGTTCTCTTCAACTGGCTATGGCGACTGGGCGCCCACACAACTCACTGTTCGCACTCTGGATCACCCTGGATGTCCCACACGCAACACTCAGTATCATACGCAACACACACACACGCTATGCTACAGCTATGGCAGCGCTAGCTGCCACTACCTATCGCTACACTACACTTCTCTGCCCACTTCGTCTTCGGGCACACTGCAGACCTCCTCGCACAAGCTGCTAAGGCAGCGCTTCCGCATGGCATCCGCAGGAATGAATGAATGGCTGGACGCAGCCTCTTGATTTATACTTCTGCGCTGCGTTGGTCTGCCCTGTATCCCTGGCCCATGGTGCACACAGTCCCCCCCGTGGTACTTGCTGGACCGGACTGGTACTTTCTAGACTCTCCCTTGACTGTATGACGACGACCCTACGACGCAGTGCAGTTGCACTGGGGTCCTACTATTTGACCTTGCCACTTGTCCTTGTCTCCAACATGGGCTTGCTTTAATCACACCACTTGCCCACTTGCCAACCTTCTAGAAGGACTGCAGCTAGCCTTCTAATCTACAGGGCTACGGATCGAATCCTGGCTACCTATAGACCTACAACAGACCTACCTACCACCGGCGGTTCTACAGGTCGCGGGTTCAACTCTTCGAGTTGACGCAGGTATTGTACACAGGTAAGTTGGGGAACCAGGGATCGAGCCCTGGGACCTGCATCAGCTACCACRAATTGGTGAATACCGTTTCACTCCCGCCGGCCTAAATTCGAGGTCCTCCGAGAACATTTCAGTCCAAGGCAGGACCTTTATCCTTCTGTTGTCTCTCGTAGGCTCGGACTATGTCGGGAGCTGTCTCTAGAAGTTCAGATCTTGTAAACCAGCGGTTGTCTTCGGGTTCTTGATAACTAAAATGAACTTTGTACTGTTTCTGTGGACGACCCCTACCTCCAGTCCTGAATACATCTTCAGCCACTATGCCATCAATGTCGTATCTTCCATCCATATCCGGTGGAATCATGGACCTACGGGATGGAAACTGATCGCTCGTTTGACACGGTAACAACTTTGATGCGTGGAAAACTGGATACGTGTGGAGGTGTGCTGGGAGTTCTATGGTATAGGACGGTCCATCTTCGCCGCCCTTKACTTCTAGGACTGGCCACGGTCCTCTATAGGTGGGTAGTAACTTCTGCGAGATGTTCTCCTCAGGTGCAAACTCTTTAGAACTGACCCAGACTAAGTCGCCTACTTGGAACTGTGAGGGGCGACGATGTTTATTCGCTTGTTCTATCATCCTATGYTGGGRTTTCCTGAGGTTTTTTACAACASTAGCTAGTTCTTTTTCGTGCCGTACAGCAAACTCCCTGGTCCCGGGTGGCAATCTGTGAATCTGATCTGGGCTAAGTCCTTCAAATGGTCTACGGGGCCTAAAGGACTTGTGCAGYTCATTGGGAGTGYGGCAGGTGGACAGATGCAYGCTGTTATTATATGCAYTAGCTACCTTAGGTAACAGCTCGTCCCAGTTAATCTGATCTGGCCTAATGTACATGCGCAGAACTTGCTGTAGGATTTTGTTCATTTGCTCTGTCTGACCGTTAGTCTCTGGATGACAGTCGGACGACATCAACAACTTAGATCCGTATACTCCCATGAGTTCTTGCCAGTTCGACCCTCTGTGTCGTGGCATTCCCCCAAAATCAAACTACGGATGTCTTCGCTATTGGGAATGCACAGGCGGTCAAATACATTAGTCTTCTCGAAGAGTAGCCCTTCAGTAGTGCGGTAGTTCAGCTCGGTCTCTGGGGCCTCCTTGACTCGCGTGAGGAGCTCACTATAGATAGGGTCCTGCGCGTAGGCTTCTCTAACCT